AGGAACTGATATCTTCCTGAGCTTGAGTCTTCCTATCAAAGTTAAACATGGGCAGCAGGATGCCTGAGCACCTGAGGTGCCTGTTGCTAAGCCTGAGGCCTGGCTTTGATATGGGGGACCTGCATGGCAGCAGTAAGAACTAACTCCTGCCAGGGTCTTCTGACCACCGTGTGCGTGCACCTGTGCGCCTGGGCACTCACGCACGCAATGTAAAAAGTGTTTGAGTCGTCCTGACTTGTTGATACCCTTTCAAGTGTATTTTAAGTAGGTTTCCCCATTGAATACCTTCTTCTACATTCAGATTTCCTAACATAATTGAACTTGACTTTGTTGTTTCTAGTATGTAACTGTGTGGCTTTAATGATAGCTCTCTTGGTTTTCTAGTATTTGGTCCATCTTTAAAATGTGGTTTTATTGTTGGGTGTGTTTAGAATGCTGTTGAATGCTAGAGGCTTCCTTCGAGAGCTTTATTACAAATTACGATGCCAGACTAAAGTGTTTGCTCTTTCGCATTCTCCTTCTCTGTATTTCCTCCCCACATGTATTAGAATAATGACTTTTTTTTTTCAGGCTCCAATTACTACTTTTTTTTTTTTTTTTTTTTGAGACAGCTCTGGCTAGCTTAGAACTCACTGCATTGACCAGGCTGGTCCAGAACACACAGAGAACTGCCTACTTCTGTCTCCCAAGAGCTGGTATTAACAGTGTGTGCTACCACACCTGGCCGGAGTAATGACTTTTAATAGTAAATATCCTGTCATTAACCTTACTACAATCTCTCGTAGTCTTCTGTCTATTCTATCCGGCATTATTTTACTTAAACTTTTTGAATCTTTATAAGTGAGATTAATGCATGTGTGTGCCTGTAAACACTACCCTGATTCACCAGAAGCTGTGGACAGTACTTTCTCCAGTTGTTCTCTGGTCTCAATGTACATCACACATATGTGGACACACATATATGTGTACATATACAGATAATAATAAACCAGGGAAGATGTCGGCAGAGAAAGGAGACACTTGACTGCTAACAGCCACGAAGAGTGAAAACCGGTTTATTCAAAACACAGTGCACTTATCTGGCTCATCACTGTTAGAGAATAAAAGTAAGATGAAGAGAGAGGAAGCCAGGGTGGATAGAACAGGGGGACACAGTGTCAGGGGATAACAGATGTGGTGGCACAAGTTAAAAGCAGGAGTGGAAAAGTAAGCCCTGACAGGCACAAAGACGAGGCCCAAGGATGAGACCAGCTGCCACCAGGCTGTCCTGCTCAGAGTTGGGCTGCTCCCTCCTGTTTCCACTGCCTCATCACACACAGTCTCTGGAAACATCCTCTCCTTGAGCCTGTCTAAATCTGGAAGGACGTAACCACCGTCACTGCAGTTCCAGCCTCTGAGGACATGTGTGCATACACATACATATTTGTGAAGTAGCAAGAATACTTACTGCAAATATTTGGTAATTGATAGATTGAGGGTTTATCATTTGGCTTCAGAAGAATAACTTCCATGGAAATATTTGGTAATTGATAGATTGAAGGTTTATCATTTGGCTTCAGAAGAATAACTTCCATGGTTGGCATACATTTCCTCAGAGTGTTTCTTGTGCTAATTTCTCTCAGTTGTGAATCAGTTCTTTCTGGTAGGAAATGAAATATATTTTACTTTCACTTTGCTTAATTAATTCATTATTAATTAGTGTACTAATGATTTGCAGTGAATAGGAAAACTCTCTCACTAAGAGATGAGAATGAGCTTTCCTTATCTTAGTTTGGTTTAATATTTATAGCCATAAAACCTAGTTATTAGCCTGGCCTGGTGGTATACATTTTTAACTCCGGTACTCAGCAGACAGAGACAGGCAGAACTTTGTGTGTTTGTGTTTGAGTTTGAGACCAACCTGGTCTACACAGCTAGTTTCAGGCTAGCCAATGCTGCATAACGAGAATCTATTTCAAACAAACAACAGCCAGAACCAGGAAAATGAAAAATATCATAATTATTGATGGAAGGCTAGGAAGAAATGAAAAGCAATTACTTTGTCATTGGTAGCCCAGCAAATCTGTAAATTAAAACATAAACAAGGCAGTAGAAAAATAGAAGTGCTTACCCTAAAACAATCAGTCTTCAAGAGAGGAGCCATGGCTAAGTATAGTTGTGAGCTGTCAAGATGGCCAGTTTTTTCCTTACCCTTCTGAACTGAGACTGAAGCCAAGCAGGCTTTTCCTCCTCGAAGTAGGGTTCCCCCGACTGTGGACCTGGTGGGCACGTTTACAGCAAAGTTGTGGACCTATCATCCACTCTGTTTGTTTTCAAATCGACCCACCCTAAATGTGGGGAGGGACCTTCTCAAGGACCATTAAAATCTCCATCAATCAAGGAAAGTCTGGGTTTCAGCCTCTCAAGGTCTCCTGCATTATAGCAGATCTTTTCTCTCTTTTTTTCTGTGTGCCTTGTTGTGTATATTTCTCTACACCTAATTCTTTTACTGGGAAATAAGATAGATAGATAGATACATTGATTGATAGATACATAGATACATAAATAGGTAGATGATAGATATGTAGGTAGATGATAGGTAGACAGATGATAGATACATAGATACATAGATGATTGATAGATTGATGATAGATCTATAGATAAATAGGTGGCACAAATCTTCAAATTATTTAGCCTAGAGAGTAAGGACTTGCAAACCTGTACCTACATGGAAAAGTGGTAGGGAATGAGGTGAGTAGTTCTGAGAAGTGGCTTGGAATAAGGAGGTGCTGATGTGCCAAGTTCATAGTAGAACATTTCTGTTAAATAGAAGAGCACTGCCTTAATCAAGTCAGATGATGTTAGCTGGTGATGGCTCAGTGGTTACAAGCTCTTCCTTCAGTTCCTAATACCTACATGGTACCCTACAATCATTTGATATCAGTGAAAAATGATTCAAACTTCCAAGTTATAAACTTCCAAAGAGAACTAATAAAGATAATATGGCATTGGTAAAAAAATGTTTATGTGGATCAATTAAATGTACTTAAGGCCAAGAAACAATTTCATCTCTGGTCAGTTGATTGGTGATGATAATGTTAACATAATTCAGCAGGTAAGAATGTTTTCTCAGTGTTGGCACTGGCAGCCGCGCGCTAAACAGTGAACTGAGTAGCTGCTGATTCTGCCTACAGGGTCCCTCCTTGTGGACCAAGGCCAAAACATAGAACACTTACAGCACAACACAGGTGTAGTTCCATAGCCTTGAGTGAGGGCATTATTACAATATATGCACCAAGGATAGATAATTTAGACTTCTTCAAAGGATGCTGTCTACACAGGGAAAAGACCCACAAAGTAGGAGAAATTATTTATTAATCATACAGCTGATGAGAGTAGTAGCCAGAATATGGCAACTCTTACCAATATTGGAAAAAATAACCTAATTTTTAAAAGGGCAAAATATTTAAGCAAACACCCTCCCCCCCCAAAAAAAAAAAAAAAACAGGAACAGCCAAATGAAAGTCAACATCATGAGCCATCAAGGAAGTGCAAACAGAAACTAATGAACCGGCACAGGTGTGGCTGTCACAGACCACGGCAGTGCTGGCAATGATACAAAGGTCCTGAAAACTTGATGTGTTGCTAGAGGAAGGTGGTGTGGGCAAACTGCTTCAGGAAACAGGTGATTCCTCAAAACATGCATCCTAGAATAGATGAACTCACAATTTTACATGTAGGTAATCACACAGGAGCCACTTAAGAACTTGTACAAATGTGTCCACAGGAGCAGCAATCAAAGTAGCCCCAAGCTGTAAGCAACCCGGCCTGTATCAGCTACTGAATGCCAAACAAGGTGTATCTATGGAATAGATCTGAAGGGGCTGCCTAAAAAGAGAATTAAAACAGACACGTGAACAGCACTGACCTTAAAACTACTGTGTGTGAAATAACTCAGACTCAGAAGTGTGCATATTGTGATTCTTCTTTGGTTCAGTGACCAGAACAGGCAAACCCATACGAACAGAAAATGCAGGCATGGAGGAAGAACATGTGGGGAAACTGAGGTGCAGGCTAATAGAAACAGGATGACAGAGTAGTCCAAGATAATGGGAGCAGATGCAGGATCTGTTAATACCCTACACTGCTAAATTATATGCGTTAAAGGGTTAATTATACAGTAGTTGAGATATCTCAATAAAAGATGTTTTATGAAAGCAAAAGAGAACACTGGGGATTCACAGTATGTGATGAGGATAGTACCCTAGAAGGTATTAACCAGAGAGCACAGAAGCAGGGGAAATAAGACTTAAAAATTCAGAGACCTATACATATGTGATTGGAGCCCCCAGATCTATGGCCAAAAAAGAAAATTGAAAAACTAGGAGTCAAGTCTTAAGTGATTGGTGATTGGTGGGGTGATAAAGGGCGGGAGGCAGGGGACCCCAGCAGAACTGCGGAAGATCTTAGTCATGTCCTGGCATTCTGTGGCTGTCACCCTGAATAAGCTTCAGAGTGTGCCTTTCTTACCATGTAAGAAGTTGTGAAGTTTGTCTCTGACTTGGTATTTTTCGTTCCTTTTTGTTAGCCTGCCATAGTGCTAATCAGTACGTGCTAGTATTTTACTGAAGACAGCTCCTTAGGTGATCATAGGAGGCTAAGTTGAGACTTAAAATTGACCACATGCTGCCTAGATTTTTATTGAAGGACAAAAGATTAATAATGATGACATATTTAAATACACCAAATCCTAAATGCTTTCTTCTGCTTGTTTTGCATTTTTGATTTGTGTTTTCTGTTTCTGTGAGCAGTGAATGCCGTTAGAGTTTTAGAGGGACGGCCCTGGGTGTGCTTTGCTTTGGTTGGACAGCATCCGTTCTGACTCCTGCGTAGGGGCTGTTTATATTTAGTCCTGTCTTTATTGTTTTTATCAGTGATAGTTTTCAGTGTGTAGATTGTTTGCCTCTCTGGTTACATATATTCCTAGGTAACATTTTGATGGTGACTGTATTTGTTTCTAGAAATGAAGTCAGTGGAATATAACAGTGGCCAGTTACTGGAACTTCAAACACTGAAAAGTCAACTGCTACAAGAATTATTGACTCTCCAGAAAAAGCTTAAAGGTACTAGCTTCACAAGGCCTTTCATTCTGCTGACGAATACAGTATTTTTGTGTTGTGTCAGTGTCTAAAACTACGCTGTCATGGTGAAGGTGCTTCTGTTTTTCTATAGGTAATAGTTGAATTGGCCAGTGTTAGAGCTGTTTGCTTTGTGTCTGTTGTGTATTGTTTTTCCAGCTGTGAGGATGGGCCTCTGGCCTTACACAAGCTGCACCACTGAGCTACAGCCTCAGCTCTCTACTGTTGTTTTTGTTTCAAGAAAGGCTTAGGTTGCCCATGCTAGCCTTGAACTTGCACCTCCTGTGCCTTGGCTTCTTAAATAGCGGGGATTACAGGCCTGCACCACCAGGCAAGTGAGAGCTGTCCAAATCCCGTGACGATCTTTTATGCCTTTAACTGCTATGTTAGATTAGAAAATAAAATCATCGTTATGTATGTTTGATATACCACACAAAAAACAGTTTCATAAGTGACTAAACCTCTGTTGAATTCCTAAATGATTATAGGAATGTTCTTAATTGTTTAGTTCTTAAAGATGAAGAGACTGAAGCCATTTGTACCACGAAATACCTACAAGAAGAAAAAGTAAAAATCAAAGAAAAGCCTCAACATGATGATGAATGCTTGCGGTAAGTGTCTGCTATATTGTTTATACATAAAATCTAACAGTGTTTTAAAGTTGACTTCACATTTCAGTGTATGTTAACTTAGATTTCAGTGTAAAGCTGAGAGTGTGTTTTAAAGCCCCAGACAAAGACGTCTGCGTAGAGCCTGAAACTTGCTGATAGGCGGCTCTCCCCTGGCCAGAACATTCTGTGTGCCAGTTCACAGTGCACAGGGGTGAGAGTGGGATCAGCCTCCTTCTCTGTCTCGGGGACTGTTACTCATCTCAGTAGTCAATGCGACTCCCCTTCCTGTCATATTTACCATTATATTTAATGCTTCCACAGTCAGAATAAAGTCACAGCTTACTGTTTGCCTTAGGATATGTTACTCTGGTACGGTTCCTAAAAAAAATAGAAGTGTTTTCTGTGAGGAGTACATTCATGTTTTTTATTCTTTCAGTACAGTGTAATAATGACTGGTGTTGGAAAGTACAGTGTCATCAATGCAAGGAGACATTAATTTTTTTTATTTGGTGATTATTTATTGATATTCCATGGTCACGTTTGCCGGTGTTGTTTAAAAGAAGCTCCCATACTTCCCCGCATTTACAGAAAAGACAACCACATTACTGAATCTATAGAGAAGTCAATGGAGCTTGCTTCCACGTAAATCACACAGGAAATACGTCCACCAGAGCTGAACAAATGCTTCCTGTTAGCAGAGTGTTGCCCCTGGCCACCATTGTGAGACCATGAGAAAATATTTGCAATTTAATTTTGTGTTAAGTTTTATAAGCATAAACTATTAGGCTCTTGGGACAGTGTGTGTGATGGGTGAGTTTCTGTGATGACAGATGCTCACTAGGTTCTTTCGCTTGTTAAGTGGCAGAGCCCACTGCTGTCAGTGTTCCTGACTGTGGACTGGCTTCCAGTATGAACCCAAGCTTTGTCCCTTGGTTACAAGAACTTCTTCTCAGTCAACACAAACACTGGAATCTGCGAAAGAATGCTTTTTTCTTTGCAAATTGTAACAGGAAGTTTGGAAAAGAAACAGCCTCATCCGTTTCTTATCTTAGTACTTACTAATGATATGTTAATCTTTATCAGTTTACATTTTAAATCTTTTCGTATGTATACTTACTTTCTCTATTATTGTATTTCATAAAAAAACCTGTAAGTGTAAATAAAATAAAAGTGTTGAACATTAGGATTTTGGGGAAAAAAGACTGATATTTCATTAGTAAGCAAGGAGCTAACGACAAATGATATTAGACTTATTGAACTTCATCAGTAATTTATCAATCATCCAAAACTAAGCTAATTATATTTTAATTTAGATTATAACACTTTTATATATGTTTAAAAGAATATTGAATTCTGTATTAGTTGCGTTTTTCTTAAATTTTCAGATTTGCCCTCTTTTGGGGGTAGATATGCTGTTGACAGCAGGATTTCGGAGATTTGACACTATTTAAAATTTAGGCCAGGTTATTCTTGTCTTTGTGTTTGTCCTGTGCGCTCTAAGGTGGTAGCTGCTGTGTGCTCAGAGCACGCGTCAGTTCTGACCACACAAATGAGCTTCCTGTGTCAGGGCTAGGAGTGTAGAAAAATTACTCCTTGCTATAATTATAATTTTAGTATTACTAGAGCGCACTAATAAGTTTGTCTATTTCTTCAGTAGTCCCCTCCTTACCTACTTTAATTTCTTTGGTTCCAGGTGCCTATGGCAACTGTTAATCTGAAATTTTTTTTCAAGTAGCTTTGCGTAGCCGGTGACGTGTGTACCCTCTTCATGCACTCGAGGAGACATTCCAAGATCCCAGTGGCTGCCTGGAGCCACAGTCCTAAATTTGTATAGACTGTTGTTTTAGAAACATACATTCCTGTGAGTGCTTAATCCATAAGTTAGGCACAGTAAGTGATAATAACTACTAAGTGGAACAATTATCGGGGCCGGAAAGTGGCTCAGCGGTTAAGAGCACTGTCTGCTCTTCCAAAGGATCCGGGTTCATATCCCCAGCACCCACGTGGCAGCTCACAGCTGTCTATAACTGTTCCTGGGGACCCCACCCCCTTGCACATGCAGACAAAACACCAATGTACATAAAAATAAAAATTAAAAAATAGAACAATTATCATGATGTTCAACAATAAGTTTATTTATTTCTGGGATTTTCTATTTGATATTTTCATACTGAGGTTGAATGAGAAGTTTTGACTCTAGTTAACTAAAACCCTAGACAAAGAGGCAGGGTGTGTGTGTACTTGTGTGTAAACCTGTAAGTATTACGGTTTCTGTTTTTTGGAGTTACTCTGTTTTTCAGGGAGTTTGATGCTGTCTTTAATGCAGAGTACAACCTTATTATCTTGCAATAGCAATAGCATAACGGAACCTTCTGTAGGGAATATTTTCCTACATAGAAATGCCACGATACTTACTTATATCAGAGATTCTGTTTTGAATAGGGTGGGATGAGATAAGACGTGCCAAATGTGCAGAACTGGAGACAGCCGAGGAAGCCTTGAGTGACCTGCGGCGAAGGTGGGTTAGGTCCCGAGTGAGTGTGGGTCGTTGACGTGGGCAAGGCCCTGTCAGGACACAGTGTCCAGACCCTTGGGGACTGGCAGAGCGTCCTCCTGGCGAGGCTCAGAGGCCGTGACAGAGCCTTCCCGTGGGTCATGTACAGTTGTTGATTTATGAACGTTTGACCAGTCCAGTGTGTGCAAGAATGAACACCTGCAGCTTCTTCCTCCCTGAGGACCACAGGCGAGGCTGCACTGCAAAGACCTCCCACTGAGACCTGAGACCCACTCGCCCTCCTGTGCTTTGCTTGGAGGTTTTGCTTATGTAGTTTGTGTTGTTCAGCAGAGGAGGTACACCCACCCAGTGCCATCGTCTCTGGGGGTGTGTCTGTCTGTCCATCAGTCCTTTCTTTATTCCCTCGTTGCCCTTCAGAGGCTGCTTGAAGGTCTGTGTGCATGAGAATGTACTCGTCTGGACTGCAGCAGATCTTGGGGCCAGAATTTAGCATTTGTACATACAGCACTAGACCAACCCCCTTTTGTCTAAGCAAAGGCTCTTTCTCCTACAGTGATGAACTACAAACAGTAACAACAGTTATGAAAGAGTTATGAAAACTATCACGTGATAATTACATGCACAGTGTCCAGTCCATTCGTATTTGACAATGTAGGAGAAAGTACTCTACTATCTCTCCTGTCTTGGGGAGTTCGAACTTCTATATCCGAATCATTTTATATCATAGTCTGAATTTGACAACATAAAAATTCTACTTAGACCTAAAATAACTTTTTTTTAACAAATAGATCATTTTTTATTTTGTCTTTTTTTTTTTTTTTTTCCAGAGCTGAGGACCGAACCCAGGGCCTTGTGCTTGCTAGGCAAGCGCTCTACCACTGAGCTAAATCCCCAACCCCTAAAAATAACTTTTAAAAGCATTTTTAATTCTAAAGAACGTAAACTCGATTGTGACACTATAACTATCTCGTTCTCAATCCCATCTAGACCTGAGAAGGAATGAATAGTGCCGGAGTTTATAGGAAGCGCAGAGCAAGCAGCTTCCAAAATTATAGAAAGGACAGAGGCAGCTGGCTGCCTGATGCCACCCAAGTTTCCCGGCAACTGTTGAGCGTCATCTTCAGCCCTTTGGCTCAGACTGTCTGACAGACATTTCTGTGAAGCAGGAACTGTGAAGGGCCGCCCGCCTCGTCCTCATGAGCGTGGTAGTAGTCGTGTGTTGTTGTTTGTGTCCTCTTTGAGATGGGTCAGAATGGAGCTCTCCTCACTTTTCAGCTAGGTACATGGCGTTTCTGCTTGTTTGTTTCTGTACAGTGGAGGTCGCAGGGCAATTTTCACAAGCCATTCTCCCTTTCCCTCTTCACAAAGGTTCCTGAATGTGGATTGTCAGCTTCTACCATAAGATATCCACAGTTCTTCCTCCTTCTTTCTTTCCTTCCTCCTTCTTCCTTCCTCCTCCTTCCTTTCTCCTCCTTCCTTTCTCCTTCTTCCTTCCTCCTTCTTTCCTTCCTTCCTCCTTCTTCCTTCCTCCTCCTTCCTTTCTCCTCCTTCCTTTCTCCTTCTTCCTTCCTCCTTCTTTCCTTCCTTCCTCCTTCTTCCTTCCTCCTCCTTCCTTTCTCCTCCTTCCTTTCTCCCTTTCTTTTTCCCTCCTCCCTCCCTCCCTCCCCCCCTCCCTCCCTCCTTCCCTCCTTCCTTCCTTCCTTCCTTCCTTCCTTCCTTCCTTCCTTCCTTCCTGTTTTTTGTGACAGAGTCTTACTATATTGCCAAAGTTGACTGTAAACTCATGATTCTCCTGCCTCCACCTCCCAGTTATTGGGATTATATGTGTACTGCTGGGCCAGTGTTTCTTCTTCTTCAGTCTAATTAGTACAAGTAACAAAACAGACCATTTTAAAATTTTCAGGTGTGACCCTATCTGTGAGGACAGATATAAAAAAAGGCAAGCAAGCAATGACCTTCACTCAGAAAAAAAAAAAAAAAAAAAGGACCAGACCCTTGTCTTTGAGATAGCATTTCTTACCAACAAACCCAGACTTCTTCTGAGTAGCTTTTGACCTGCAGCCAAAAGTCCGCAGCCCCTAACCTTCAAGGATGAGCTAACCACCCCCACCTTAAATTGCACCTGCATCCACACTTGGCAGGACTGGCCAAGCTTGAGCACCTAAGACTAACCAATTATCTTACTTTATAGCTTCCTTATCCAATCCTAAATTGCCAAGACTGCAAGTTCAAATCTCCCGCAGTTTTTCTTTTAAAAACCTAAAGGCCTTTGTCTCTGGGTGCCACTCTTTGCTGACAGGCAGGGGTGACCCCATTGTGCAATGGTTAATAAACCTCTTGCTTTTGCAACGAGTCTTGGTCTGGGGGAGTTTATGGGAAGGGCGCGATCTTAAACTCCTGAGCTGTGAGGCCCCAGGTCTTACATCGGGCATTTTTCTTTTACTAATAAAACTTCTTTCCTGGGTGATTCTACATTTTGTGTAAC